AACATTCTTGATTTTTTGATAATTCATCACTTGGAAATGCTGAAAGAGAGGTCAATTTCTTTCACAAAAAAAAGCACCACTTTTGCTTGATTTTTTCGTGGTCTTAAAGAAAAATTAGTTGTTTTTATTCAGAGATATAATTGCAACAAACACAAACTTTTAAACACAAATAATGTTGTTGTTTGCATGAGTTTTGCTATAAAATTTTCACTATTAAATGAGAAAAAACCTTGTTTTTAGCCATATAATCTTCTGTTGGAAAGTAGCTATTCGCGCGGAGTCACGCCGAAAAAGCAGAGAAAAGGGATGCAGTGGGCTAGTTGCCGTAAGACTAGGCATGCAAGATCAACTTGTAAGAATGAAAATTTTACGTGTCATACTTGCTGGAAAGCTCGCCACATAGCTAAGGCACGTAAAAGTAAAAATGCTAAATTAAATAATGTGCAGAATGTACTTCACGATGAAAATCTGGGCGATCCCTTTTAAACTTCCATTTTTAAGGTCAGTAGAGCAAACACGCATAATATCGAGATGCCAGTCGAAATCAATGATATACGTCTGCTCATGGAGATTTATAACGTTGCAGGAATTTCGATAATATCCAAAGAAACATTTATCAAAAACTTCAACAATGTGTCATTGAAGCCTTCGGGCACCCGTTCGCATACTTATACGGGTGATCATATTAAGGTCTGTGGACAATTTGATGCAAGGGTGAACTATAATCATCAATCTGTAATCTTGCCACTAATTGTAGTAGATGGATCAGGACAATCCCTTTTCGACACTATACGCTGTCCTTGCATGCTACAATTCATTCGCAATCTGAAGTCTTCAATAAAGTCTTGCGACAATAAAAGGAATTAAGGCCAAGTTGGATGTCAAGGAGGGGATTTGACCTGAGTTCTGTAAAATACGTTCAGTTCCGTACGCTTTGTAGACAGCCGTTGAAGAGGAGTATATATAATTGTTTGGAACTTGAGGGCATCATAGAGAAGGTAGAATTCAGTGAATGGGCAACTTCCGTGGTGCATATTCCTAAAGTGATAATACGACACACTCATGTGGAGACTATGCACTAACCCCAGCTCTAAGTTCTCGATACCCATTCCACTGCCGGAAGATGTCTTTTGTAAGTTGAGTGGAGGACAATTCTATACAAAGCTGGACTTAAAAAATGCGTATCAACAAATACTTCTTGAAGACGAGAGTCGACAGTACATCACGATTAACACCCATTAGAGCCTGTATCGCTATAAGATACTTCCATTTGGCATCGCAGCATCACCTGTAATTTTTCAGCGCTCTAATGATGTTATTTTGCAGGAAATTGATAAGATAGCAGCAATACTGGATGAAATTCTTGTGACGGGGAAAGATGATGCCGACCACAATCAAAATCTTGAAGCAACTCTGGATCGGTAAGTAGTGTATGGTGTTTGTTCAGAAGTTGTGACGTATATGGCTGCATAATTTCTTCATCAGGAATCAAACATACAGGAAAACATGTCGAAGCAGTTAAGAGAGCATCACAGCCAGAGAATGTCACGCAATTAAGATCATTTCTGTAATGGTGAGCTACCATGGTAAGCTCATCATTCTGAGCCTAATCTTTTATCCTCTAAATCAGTTATTGAAAAGGGGTCGTGAGCACAACTGGTCACCAGAGTGTGAAAAGAGTTCCAATTGGCTAACAACTCTCTGTCTTCATTAAACGTTTTAGTCTATTACAACCCCGAGTAATCTGTAGTCATAGAATTTGATGCCAGTCTGTATGACATCGGTGCAGTAATTTCTTATCGTTTCCCTGACAAAGTTGAAAGACCAATTGCATATGCATTGCGTTCATTCTGTTGAAAATGGTTGAAGCCAGATTGAGAAGGGAGGTGTTGGAATTATTTTTGCTTTGTTCAAATTCTATATGTATGTTTATAGTCAAACGTTCGCGTTGTACACCGATCATAGGTCGTTACTGATGATATTCGCCCCCAATTCCGCTACTTCATCTCTAGCCGCAGCACATTTCAACAATGGCCACTCCTTTTATCCGCTTATCAGTATGATACTCGTTACAAGTCGTCTACGGGCATAGCTAATGCAGACGCCTTGTCGCGACTTCTACTATATTATCAGAACGACAATAGGGTTGAAGAGCAGGTATTTAACCTTACAAATTTGAGATTAACTTGTCACCCAGTTTCAGTTAAAGAAATGGCCGAAGAGACTGCTTGGGACAGAGTCTTTCCGAACATCTTGATTTAATTTGATGGGATCAAGTATGCAATGATATGGAGGTGAAGCCATACTATGTGCGAAGAGATAAAATTTCCACTGAACATGGATGTCTACTCTGGGGCTTACGCGTGATTATTCCCCCTAAATTTTAAACGAAGGTGGTAAATGTGTTGCACAAAGCGAGAATAAGTTTGTCGCCGGTAAAACCCGACACCGTAAGTGTAGTGTCCGGAAATCAGTTGCAAATGAAGAGCTATCATGATCAGTATGGTACTCAGTACAGAGAATTTGAAGTTGGGCAGTCGCTAGTGAGTCCTTGTACGAGATTATAGATCGAAGGCGAAGTGCCAACTAGGAAACATTTCTGGAAGAAATAGACCCAACTCATGTATCGTAGCTTATCCAGATGGAAGAATGTGGAGGCGTCATGTTGATCCCTAAAAACCTTGGATTTCAGTTGTAAACACCTTCTAACAGATTTGTAAATTATCAAGTGTTATGGCAACGCCAGTAAAACCTTCAATTTTTCACAACGCTACGAAAGCAAACAATATTTTATAAATGAATCGCGGTAGAAACAATGGTCTGCTATCAAAGTCACTAAAAAACTAAGTATAGAGTGGTGAAAAACAATAACTTAGTTCAGCTCATTTTATTTTATCTGGCACAATAGTGCATGCGCCTTGTGCTGTTAAAACAAATAGCAGCTTTGATTAAGGACGAAAATACATCATAAAATGAAAAGCAATTTTTTAATGTAAACATAATCGTATTAAATAAACGAAAATTTGATGTATTTAAACTCGCCAGACATGTCAGAAACCACTAATGTTAATTTAATTAAATATTCTTTGCCGTCTTGATATACCATAAAAAATGCCTCTAATAGTTTTCATTATTCCATTTTTTACTTTTTTTTAAATTTTCGCTGGTTGCATGCACTGGGAATATTTCTTCAACTGGTATTATATATAATGCTGATATTATAGCGTGTTGAGTTAATTTGGAAGCAAAAGTTTGGTCAATTGACACAGATGGCAAAAATAAAAAATAGTGAAGACGAAAATCATAAGAAATTATTTATAACTACCTAATTTTTCCATTGCCAATCAAACCAAACACGTTAAAATAAATAATGCATATATCTTTTCATACCTGATGGGAAAGTGCAAAGAATGAATAAAACGACGAGGAGTCTTGAAAGAACGAGTTTTCAATGTGATAGTTATTGATTTTATTGTTTTCGAAGTCATCAAACTTGTTCTTTGAAATATAGAATTGATATTAAATCAATAGACGTAAAAGTTACAGGTTAATTATTCTTGTGAAATCTATTGCCAGTGATTGGTCGGTTATAAGTGTCTTACGTCTTACGGAAAATGTTAAAATAGATATCATTCATTCACAAGCTTGCCATTATGTTTACTAAGCTATGATATAATTTATTAAAGTAGATTATACAATAGCTTTTGCTGATTTTTGGTGATGTGTAGAAATATTCTTGTGGCTACATTTTCAAGCAGTGATGTCTTCTTGCCATTCTTGCTTTGACTTACAACAGTACAACTAAAATGTTTAAAAAGCCTGCAAAATTTTGAGTTGATTTTTACACCTTAAGCTGCTTTCCCAATGAAACTCTTGAATTATCTTGTTTGAACATTGAACTTTTTATACCCATTAAGTCATGCTATCTTTCCAACAGCAAAAAGACACATGAAACTTTTGTATCGAACATAAAAAGCACATTTCCTGATGATGACTTTAAAATAAAGCAGCGCATTGTTTTTACTACGAACGTAAAAAATGATTCCAACAACATGCATATAAAGTTAAGCTAGGTTTTTATTAAAAAAACTTAGGATTCCAGTACATAGGATTCCTGTTCAAATCAACTATAGCTAAAATACACGCAAAAGCTAAAGAAAAAGATACCACAGTTGAACAATAAAAAGAACTTTGTTTTACATAACAATATAACTATACAAAACAATTTCAATGTTTATCTCTAACAATATAATACCCAGAAAATACACGTGTTCAATGTCGCCCTTTTCATGGTATCATTGCGTGCAAACTGCACGCTTGACGAGTTGTTTGCCACCAGCAAACGCATTTCAATTTTTTTTTGAGGAAAGAATTAAAGTATTAAAAATGTTTGCAGCTATGAATAAGAAACTCATATTTGACTGCTATATTTTGCTGCTTTGCGAGGGAAACCAACACTGCCGTGATCATAAGCATTTTTCGTTATCTACTTCACTAATTACATGCTAGCGTTGATTGAAATATTCTTTGAAAGATGCGTTAAATTAAAAAATTCAAGCAGCTTATTCAGCCCAAATGCTCATGATATAATTATTGCTTGACATGTGGCAAAGAAAACTTTAACATTTAAGGGTACTCTGATTTATAGCATTTAGATCAACTGGCTGTACATCTTGCAACATTTTGTTAGTCATGCCTGGTAATTGCCGAAATACAAGTTTGAAGTAGAAGAAAACGTTGTTAGAATCAGAAAAATTAGAAAATTTGTCAATAAAGCAATTTTTCAATTCAAAGAACAGCACCAGTTCACTATCAATACATCCCTGATCGTATGATCGTACGACCTACCACAATTATTTATTCATACAGCAGGTGGTAATTCACAAACACACGAAAGAAAATTCAAGACACAGGTATATAAAAAATAGTATGCATGCTGTTAAACCTATTACAAGCAAGATGAAGATTTTAGTTTTTCTACTGACAACAAGTGAGAGGTTTATTGCACAAAATTTTTATTGGTGATTAGAGAGTGTTTCAGCAAGTGCAAAAGGTGTTTATCATTCAGTATTACGCTAAAAAAAGGTAAGGATTTATTATAAACATGCACAACGATTGAGAACTATAGTAAATTGTATAAAGCACTTTATACTGTCATTTTTAGAAGGACATTTTCATTTCTATTCACACCAGCTACACCACTTTCCACAATGAAAAATTGAAAAGATAATGGCAGGTGACAAACATGTTCTCAAGTCTGCACACAATAACACCCAGACAATGATGCCATTCAACACGTGTATCTTTTCAGGGTATTATCATGTACAAAAACGATTTTCTTTATCTAAATTTCAAATGTTAAGCTCTTTCATGCCATGTTTTCAGTAAACTATGTTTAAAAAGACTAATGAAATGACAATTGTGAAGAATCCAATCTTTTTTCGTGTACTAAAATGAGAATACTAAATAATGTATGCAGTAATATTGATCTATTTTAGAATTATGTCTATTCAAAATACCTACATTTTTTCTTCAGTAGGGATATAATTTATAGATGATTGGAATAAAGTATAGCGCATGAGAGCGTCTTGAAATAGAATTTCAACTATTCAGCTGGCGTGTCAATATTTCCTGCAGTATCAGAAGAATAACTTTTTGATTATCTTGGTGCGTCTTTAGACTGCTGCAAAAATATGAAAATTTTTTTACAACAATTGCCATCCTAGGCGAAACAAATAGCTAAAATATCATTAGTTGCCCTATTTCAGTCGAGAAAATCTGTTCTTGTACACTAACTTTTATAAACGTGTTTTTTCTGATAGTAAGCGAAGATATCTAATAATACGGATAGTTCACAAAAAAACTGTCAATATTAAGCTGAAAAGTGTCGACTCTCATCTGATGAGTCCAGGTGTACAAATTAAACTACAGAAGCTTAATTTTGAATTAAAAATATCTTTAATGAAGCAATACTATTCAATATAATCATATGAATATTTAATGAAGAATTAAAATCTTTCCAATGGAATTGAAAAGTGCATGTATATTGTAGACTATAGTCTGTTATGATTTTTAAATTATTTATTTAAACGTTTGCTAGATTCTTCACATATAATCAGAATCGAAACAACAAATGAAAGGAAAGAAGGATCATAGTACAAATATTCTTATTTATGTTATTCTTTAAGTCCTTCTTTGATTTTTGTGTTTATTTAGATGACACCCTACAGTTATCCACGTGGCGATTGCAATAAAAAAATCAAGGGCGCGTTTGCTTAGCTATATCTATTCTTAGTATAAATACAGTTTAGGTAGCATAAAAAGTTTGATTAGACTATGAATTTTGTAATTTTTTTATTTTATTTTTACAAATAGCGCTTTAATTGTCTTCACATAAAACTTCCATGGATGGATAGATTGTATTAATTGGTAAAATAAAGAGTTTGCCTTTATTTCCAATGATGAAGATGCATATTAAAAATCAACTCAATGTCCTTAAAGTTAAAGAGTGTACAAATGATAGCAAAAGAACTATAAAAAAAACAAACGAAGTTATTTACAACATGAAATGTCTGCAACAAAAAGATGGACGAAATCTTTTCAGACACTTGAAAATTGAACAATTGAAAGACGATGCAATCAAAATTGCTCGGAAATGAGAAAATCGAGTAAAAGCATTATTTTTGTTATACGTTTTGTCATATTGTTAGAACTATCAAAAATTGTGAAAATCTTCAAAACCTGAAGTCCCAAACATTTTCTCTTCCATCTACCCATATTATTAGAAAAAAAAGTCGAACTTGTCATCTCGTTTCTCACCCCCATCAGCTACTTCATCATGAAGATTTCTTCGTTATTACGGATTCCAAAATCTCCCGAACATTTTTTTATTTTACAAGATATAAAATTGCTATGAATTCAATTTTAGTAACCTAAGTAGAAAAACAAAGAGGAGTGCTATCAGTGTGCAACTTAATGATACCTATATGAATGAACGTTATTCATTTTTCACATTTGCTATAGAACTAAACATTGTTTTTGATAAGAGTCGTGAGAGCATTGTCTTTTATTCAGGTAAGACACTGCTAACCAACCAATTGCAATAAATTTGACAACAATAAATTACCTGTAACTTTTAAGTCTATTGATTAAATATCAATTATATATATTCAAAGAACAAGTTGGATAACTTCGAAAACAATTAAATCAATAACTATTACAATGAAATCTCTCGTCGTTTTCAGCCTCATCTGCGTTTTAGTAATTCTTTGCACTTTCACATCAGGTATTAAAAGTATTTAAATTAACGTATTTGGTTTGATTAGCAATGGTAAAATTACGCATGAATAATTTTTTATTTATTTTCGTCTTCAATATTTTCCATTTTATCATCCATGTCTAATGATCAAATCATTGTCGGCAGATTAAGTCAACACAAATCGATGTCAAGAGTGTGATAACATTTGGATAAACTTTTTCAACTGCAATTAGGAAAATCTTAAAGCAAAGTAGAAATATAATAACGCAATTCATTAGAGGTATTTTTGTGTATCAAGGAGACTAAAGAATATTTTGTACACATAAGGTTGATGTTTTCTGACATATCTGGAGAGTAGCTGTAGAACATCAAATTTTTGTTGATTTGGGACAATTGTATTTACATTAAAAAATTGCTTTTCACATTGTGATATACTGTCGTTGTTGGTCAATGCTACAATTTGTTTTAACTGCAGAATTAAAGGGAATGCAGTATGGTGTTAGATAAAGTCACATGACCTAAACTAAGTTATCTTTATTTACCACTGTCTACTTTGGTTTCTTAATAACAATAGTGGCAGACCATATAGTTTCGGCTGAAATTTGTACGCTTTTAGTACATTTTTAAAGAGGAGGGTAACACTACACAAGTTTCTGATAGAAATGTGTCTTTAACCTGGGTGGTGTTCCCTACTATTACTTTTCCCAAATAACCTATATATATATATATATATATATATATATATATATATATGAACTAAAATAAAATAAAATGGACAATTGTTTGCTGTCGCTACTCAGAGTTTCACGCCGTAGGGCGATCTTCAGGCAACTGACAGATAATATTATATTTGCTGACTATATACATCGACTAAAAGGTGTTAAGTTACATGACGGCATGCACTAAACATATCGGAACGTTTATTTAAAATGTTCTTTTTACGTCCTTTCAGGATAAGTAGCCTTTCTTCAAGGCAAAGACGGCAGGTTCTTTGGTTTTTGTTCGGAGGTGGAAGTTGTTTGATGAAGTCCCATTTAATGTTGTAGTTACGTTTGTTTTCTTTCAGTGTCCACGTGTATTTAGAAAGTTCTGTCTCGTTGCGGTATTTAATGTTCGTAATTGATTTAATGTGGTTTCGATATCGTGTCTTAAAAGCGCATGCAGTAACACCTATGTAAGTTTTTGTTTCGTTGTTGTCAGTCGTTGTCACGTCGGCTTTGTAAATCACGTTGGGTTTCAGGCAATTTCCATTTGTCGGGCATAGATGTTTCTGTCTGCAGTTACATTTCTTTGGTGGGTTGTTCTTGTTCTGGGTTGTGTCTGGGTTAAGTCTTTTAAAATAGTCTTGTTGTGTCTGGTTATGAAAGTTTTCATGTTTTCGCCGCAGCTGTAGCTTACGCGTATTGTGTGTCGGTTGAATATCTTGGAGAGTATAGTATTTGGTGGGAAATGTTTGTCGATAAGTTGTAGGAAGTCATGGGCGATGTGAGTTTTACGTTTTGCTGTATGGTGGGTTAAACCAAGTGACGTTACGTTTTCTGTTGTACGTGGTGTTTACATTGATGTTTGATGGATTAAAGGTGAGTTGGGTGGTGAAGTTGCTTTGTTTAAGAGCTTGGTTGTAAATTGGTGCGGCATTTTCGAAGGTGTCTTTGTCAGATGAGAGTGTGTTAATTCGGTTGTTGATGGATGTGGGTAGTTGGCGTAATACTGATGGTGGGTGGTTGGAAGATCTGTGAATGTAGAGGGCTCGTCGTTGGGTTTTCTATATGGTTTGTAGGTGTCGTTGCTAAGGTCAAATGTTACGTCAAGGAAGTTTGTGCGTTCATGGTTTGTCATCGCTGTGATTTTAGTCCAAGCTCGTCAAATAGGTGTGAGAGGCTTTCTTTGTCGCAGAGTCTTCCAGATTTCGTATTTATGACTGCAAGGCCATCGTCACGGTATAAGCCGACGTTGCTTCCGTACCGCTGCTGTAGTTGGTCGAGTAAGAATAGCCCTACAAGCTCGCAAACTTCCGCTCCATCATAGCTGCCCATGGTTACATCAAACGTGTTGGTAGCGTTGCGTTTGGACCATGATTTGTTTTGGTGGAAAAGAAGTGATTTTCTTGCGTGTTTTATAATGGTGTGGTCTTTTTCTGTGATTGTTGTGTATTGTTTTGCCCACGCTAGGCATTTGTCCAGTAGGTGTTTGGTGATCGATGGGTAAAAGTCAACTATGTCGAATGATATGAATGATTTTCTTTGTTTTTCGGTGATGGATTTGAACCAAGTGATAGCATCTGTTGTGTTGCGCCATTGGTTTAGTTTTAGTTCGTTTCGTATTATGTTGTTGATGTTGTCTAGGATGTATTTGCTGACTTTTCCGAGGTGACTTTTTGCGGGGTTGATGAGGCGGCATTTGGGGTTGTTTTCAAAGTCTGGTTTGTGGTCTTTTAAAGATATGAATGCTGGAGTATGGTTCATGGAGTTTATTCGGTCGGCGATTTTAGGTTGTCAGCGATTAGTTTTAGTTCGGAATTTATTTCTTCTACAGTGTCTTCTTGCGTGTGTTTGTATGTCTTTGTCACATTGTCTGTTAGTAGTTTATTGTAATTTGAGGCGTCCATTTCATAGATGTTTGTTGTTTTGTCGGCGAAGATGAAGATGTTGTTTGATGCGTTGATTTTGCTCATGTCTTTGTGTAATGATTTTAGAAAATCGTTGTGGATGTTGCGGAACTCGATGTTTTCGATTGACTGGGAAAGGTCGTCTTCAAAAGGTTTTAAGGATGGGACTGGTGGTGGATTTCGTTTTGTCTTTAAGCCATAAGTGTGCGGTCTTTGTGTGCGAATAGCGTCGTCAGTGTGGCGGAGAAAGAAGTGGGCTTTCCATCTCATGCGTAAAATGTTCTTTTTACGTCCTTTCAGGATAAGTAGCCTTTCTTCAAGGCAAAGACGGCAGGTTCTTTGGTTTTTGTTCGGAGGTGGAAGTTGTTTGATGAAGTCCCATTTAATGTTGTAGTTACGTTTGTTTTCTTTCAGTGTCCACGTGTATTTAGAAAGTTCTGTCTCGTTGCGGTATTTAATGTTCGTAATTGATTTAATGTGGTTTCGATATCGTGTCTTAAAAGCGCATGCAGTAACACCTATGTAAGTTTTTGTTTCGTTGTTGTCAGTCGTTGTCACGTCGGCCTTTTAGTCGATGTATATAGTCAGCAAATATAATATTATCTGTCAGTTGCCTGAAGATCGCCCTACGGCGTGAAACTCTGAGTAGCGACAGCAAACAATTGTCCATTTTATTTTATTTTAGTTCATTTTATCTTACGCTCTTCTAATATATAGAATATTGAGCGCTCTTTTATCCAGGAATATTATCCATAATAATATATATATATATATATATATAAGAACATAAAAAGTTGAACAAGATTGGTAAAGCCAACAGATTTACTTTTTGGGTATTTTTTAGATCACATATTTGTTGAGCTAAATTTCAGCATTGACACTTTGTTTTTAAGTGTCAGTGTATACTAGTTAAAAAAACATGATCTCGGTAAAAACAGAAAACAATAAACGTTAATAATTTGTTTATAAAATTTTGGTTGTATTCAATACAATACGGTCCAGTTTCTTTTGAATTTAATTCATTTACCAACCATACTGTCGTCAAGATAATCTCGGCATTATTAGTCTTGATTTTCAAATGTTTGGTCACCGGGTAAACAGGGTTGTATATTTCAATTAAATTAAGCTAAAAACTACTTGCTTGAACATTCTTATTCGTTCATAACATTGATATTTGTTTAATTTACTTACAAATCGAAGAAACCATCATTGTGTAAAAGATTATCAATCTGTAATTTGTGCTAAAGGTATCAATTTTTTTTATTCTGATTGAACGCTTTTGGCTTCATTTATAAATTCAAAAATTTTTTGGAAAGTGTTTCCAAACCATTAGGAGATTATGAAAAACGGAGATTGATGTGTAGACATCCTTTTTTTATGATGTTGCTTCTTTTTTAGCCGCCATTATCACAAAGACAAAAAATTATTTCAAAAAAGTATTTTCTTGCATTGTCAAAGCCTTACCGACTGATTTACCTGAAGTTCCAAGAAAATATAGCTTGTGAAATATTACCAATAGAATGAAAACAAAACCAATTCTTGTGGAAGACCAATTAACAATAACCTTACGAGCTCGAGATTTCTATGAGATCATAGTTGATGAGGACGAAGACGAATGATCCAAATCAACTATCGCATCATGAAAATTGAGAGTGAGTAAACCTAAATGTTGTGGTAGATTGATACTGGCAGAGGGATAAATAAAACGTTAATTGGGGATGATAACATATTCATATATTCTGCTGTGCCCTACTGAATTCTTTTGAAAGTGAATTGAATTTATTTGAATATTTACTTGCATTTATACCTGATTTCGCAAATGAACGCATTTAAAACATGTAGTTGAAGCAGTTGATGTATTTTACCAAAAAGAAAATAAAAAATTCAGTTTTCAAAAGTTGATTTGTACTTCGTCGTCGATAATTTAAATATTGATCAGTCATTGCTTGTTTATTCTGTCACCCAATCAAATTTTATCACGTGAGTAAGCTGGCCAATACTATTTCTTTAATCCTATAGATCGTGCACGCGTGAAATTTGCAAAGTCATGATTTTTCAATTTTCCAAGTGTTTGGGGACAAAGAAAACAAACTGCTCGTATTTTATTATTTAAAACAAATAAATAACATTTTACCGTTGTCCATACAGTCTATACACGGGTCAGACAAAAATTGTGATAAGATCAAAATGAGACCATACCCGCGTATCTATATACAGCTGTATATAGACAAAGGTTAAATGTAATCTATTTGTTAAATAGATAGCGAGTAGCTTAGCCAATCAATTTAAAGCATTTGCAAGAGAATACTATTATAATTTACTAAATTTTTTGTATCTTACTTGTTTTTTGTTATTTCTTGTTAATATTCAATCTTGCTTAGAAAGGGTTCAAATATTAAAATAAAAACGTCGTGGGGAAAAAGACATTTGCCAGTTTCTCCTAAAGTGTAATTAACAAGAAAACAGACTTGAGTGTTACTTTGCTAAATTTTGGTTTCTTTTAGGCTTGGAAAAATTAAAAAACTGGGGTAGTGAAGAATTCAAAAAAAGCTGCATTGCTTTTCATAATATTTTAAGAATAATTCATAACTCACCACCAATAGAATGGGAAGAAAAGCTGGTGGAGAAAAGTCAAGCCTGGGCTGGCCATCTTACGATCCGACAAGTAATATAGCAACACTATTTCATTACTACAGTTACTAGACAAGCCTGCCAAATCTCAAAAAAACCAAGCAATAACCAATTTTTCAGCTCGTCTGAAAATCAAGAAATTATGGACAAGAGTTTTCAATCTCCAGCAGTCTTTCCTTGTAATTCACTAAAACAACATGTTTTACTTGTGCTCGTTAATCAGTAAAAATTTAATTGACTGGACCCATGTAGCTGCCATCTCATTGAATTTTGTAGTAGCAATTAATTGTTCGATGTGGCGTTAAGATGTTTCTTCATTGGATTTCTTGTCTCATTACAAAAGTATATATTCTCCCCACCCCCCCATCTGTTATTCCGAAAACCAATTTTGGGATTTTTAAATGTGATAAGAAATGGGGGATATACAATGAATCCAACTTTGAATAGGCCAATAAATATATGCTTCTTGTAAACGATAACATAACAAAGTCAACAATATAAACAACAATCATGTATCGATGTCGATGAAATGAAGTTGTTAATATATTTAACGGAAAGCTGCCCTTCTACGTTACTTTTACATTATCATAAAAGAGAATTTTACCATACACCTTACTCCTTTTGAGCTTTTTTCTCTTAAGCGATTGCATTTTTTCCCCTCAATCTGAACAACCTGGTGACGCCACCCTTAGGAAAATTTCACATTTGATTTCATATACGAAGTGTTTTAATATCACATAAGTTGCACATATCATTTCGTATATGAAATCAATTGCGAAGTTTTCATAAGAGCACTGGAACATTACCTACTAAAATTTAAATATAACATTTTAGAAGCTATTGCATCCGTCACATGGCGAATATGGTTCAAATATATATGAAACCCCGACAATTACAGACATAGACTTGCTTTGCTTAGAGGCTGTTGCATTTTGGTATAAAGAAATAAAACTTTATGATTTTGATAATCCAAAATATTCAGAAGCAACAGGTTAGTAATCGCTTGATTATGTTCTTATACATGTAAGGAATCTTTTATATATAAGGATTAAAAAGTGTAAATTTTCATACATAATTACGATTATTTGCATCTTTTTTCCCCTTTCGTGGTACTTTTAAGTCTGCATTAACCAAAACAAAATGTCTAAAGTAAACAGTCATCCAGTGAAATCTTTCAACGTCAAAAAAGTTGAAACCAGAGGCATAGCTTGCTTAGACAATTATTGGGTTTCAAGATCAACAAAGTCCAAAGAACTTTTAAGGAAAACCAAAATTTTATTATCTGATCAATAATAGCTAAAATTATGGTTTCAATTTTCTTGTTTTTATAGCTATTTATATCTTTGTGCAAGAGGTTCTAGAGCATCTGGAAGATAACAAGAATGTTTTTACAGATACTTCTTAGAGTTTGAACTAAGACTGAGAAATTTGATCAAATGTGTTATACGTTTTGGGTGTTTTTTCCAGTATTTTTTTTTTCTTTCATTTTCCGTCTTTAAGGAATGAACATTACATCTTAGTTAGCACACTCGAATAATGTAAAACTTTGGCATTTTTGAATTTTTAAAACGATTACTTCAGCAGTAAGTTAACCAAACCTGCTACGGTGATCCTCTACTAATTATTACATTTTGCACGAAATTAAATAAAAAGCAATGAAAAACTAACAGTGAATCATACTGATTGTTTTAGGTCACTTTACACAGATGATATGGAGAGATTCAGAAGAATTTGGAATAGGTGAAGAGGGCCAAACAGGTCTAAATTTCTACGTCGTTGCAGAGTACAGCCCACCTGGAAATATGGATGGAGGATATGAAGATAATGTGCAAAGACCACGTGAGTATATAGGGAGTTAATGAGAGGATAAGAGGCAAAAGGAACAATTTTCCTCATTGGTTAAAAACCCCTTTATGTACTGAAAAACCCAATCTTAAAAAATAAAAGCATTTAATGCTTTTATTCAGCATGTAAATGAACAGTTTTAAAGCTTTAATTTCCATGAATTAACTCCACACAAGTGGCATTAATCAGTCGATGTGAATCGCTCGAGATTTAAATTCGTAGACATGATTCTTTTTTAGATTAAAAATATCTCATAACGGTTTGAAGAAAAACAATAAATTGAAATAACATTTTGCAATAGTCTAAAATTTATGAAAAATTGAAATCTAAAAAACATTTCTGTACAAAAGTCTCTCAAAGTCATGAGGCTATTTATCTTATCCAAATCTAAATACTTTCTTTCAGGCAGACCACCAATCTCGTGCATAAAAGAAATTGGAAATAATGAGTATTTTGATATGTTGAAGGATGCGTTAAAGAAATACAAAATAGAAGACTTGTTTGAGGATAATGATGAACCTTGTGTTATTCCTACAAGAAATCACACCAAAGTATCAACCGATAGAAAAAAGGGTGGAACAGTAGTATCAGGGGGCTCTCTCGTAGGTTCTACGGGTACAACAGGTACGCGAACATTGACATCATTAATGAAGTATTCAGGATTACCATTCCATTTAGAAAAGTAAATGCTTACAAAAAATTTATAGTTTAATGCTAATTCAGTGCAAATTACGACTATTTTAGTGAATTTTGCTCTGCTTTGGAATTGTCACACACTCTGCAGCAATAAAAACTAAGAGTTTTCCATATGCAGTTTTCCATATAAAAAAAGTGAAAAAGTTTAAAATAAATATTGCAATAATGGGTTTTAAAATGTTTTTACAATGTTCTTCCAAAACAGGGCCTTAACCAGATCGAAATTGTTACCGAAGCTCAAATTGCATAAGTGCTACCGACGTCAAGTGCCTCGTTTGCCTCATTGTAATTACATCCCTTGTGATTTTTTGTTTGCTGTGTTAAAACTTTCATTTTAAATCAATTATTTGTAATTCACGATTGCTCTAACAACTATTTGAGTGCAAAGTACAAGTTAGTGAAGTTATGTACATGCACGATATTACATTTGATAATTTTTATTCCTCAAAATTAGAACAATATTTCTCAGCACTGAGATAATGATTGCCTTTTTTTATGAATAAAAATCTTTAAGGTTCTTGACCTACGTTTTTAAGGCTAAAATATAAGCGTCCACAGTGTCTGCTGTATATAATAGTAGAAAAACAAAAATATTTGCTGGGCACCATATGAGTTCTTTGTAGCCAATTTTATAAAATAATGTCAAGTCTATTGTAGTTAGATTTATTCTATTGGTATTTCGTAATAATTTCAACCCAAAACTCTTGTTTCAATTCATACGTCAAACTTTTCATGATGGTGAGTTTAGTGCCATCAAATAGCTATAGGTTTTGCTTTCGATACATCCGGCACATGAAAAGTTTGTCATCTTTTCATCGGAAATGGGCTTCAAAGTCCCCCATGACAAAAATTTCTTTTTCACTTTTTCTTATTAAAAAATACTATGCTTTTTATCAAGTCAACATTAGAGCATTTATTTAAACTCGTTCCATATTTCACAGAACTTAATAGCATGTGTAATTTTGTCGTTACGTACTTACGCTACAAATTTAATTGTTTTTATTGCAAATTTGCATGATCGTTCTTAAAATTAATATTTACGTATATTTCAGTCTATGATAGCAGTTTGGCGTAATGCAGCTTGCCCGAAGGCCAGAGTTTACCGAAATTTTTTTCTTATTTGAGTGATTTCTATAAATAATACTGTATTATTTTTTTAATTCATACGAGCTTTCTTTAAACGAGATGAACTGAATATCATAACTAACGATTTTATTTAAATTTAAAATTAGATGTAAAGAGATTTAGCTAAATACTCCTGATGCTATAAAATCATCAAAATCTCACTTTGTTTATCCTTAATTTTATGTTAAGAGAAAAATCCAAATCCAAACGGCAAAGAAAGCCAAACAACAAACCCAAACGACAATCTTATTCTGGTCAATACAGTAAGTGAGCCTGGTGTGCCAACAAATCAGAATCCTGAAGTTGTACTTGGTCAACCAAACCAATTCCCTCAGACAAACCCAAATCTTGTGTTCCTACCACATGGTCTTTCTTTCCCACAAACAGAAAATATACAACCTACTGAAGCCACTAAGCCTGCGTTGGAAGTCAACTCTCGCCCTCTGGCATCCATAAACAGTAGTTCTATCAACTCAATGACGTCTTTAAATGGTACTTCCATCAACTCAACATCATCACATTTTTCAAAAAAGAAGCAAGTATCTTCTTTTGTACTTCCTCGGCATTAAAAGATGGGAGGGCAACAGTAGACAAGCACTAGATTAGCATTTCTTATCTATATATCATGAAGCAAAGTAACAGACAATTGCTTCCATTCTCAACATCATTATGGAAATCTATTTTGACCGAAGAATAAGATACTTATAGTTCTCAAATTTTTCATGTTAATGGCGATTGCAATACCACAATGAAGTTTGTTGCCAGCCTGTTCTTTTTCAGTTCTTTGCAAAAACTTAGTTGTTTCTTTTTTATAGAGAATAAATTCATTGATTGTATTTCAAGTCATTGAACATTTAAGCACATGACGTAGTATTTCAAAAATGGCTGGCTTCGCTCTAACTTAAATGCGTTGCTAATCCTTCAAACAATAAAATAACGATTTGGTAGCAATTAAAATTTTGATGCCATTCAATTGCAAAAGACACGATTTCAATGTTAAAAGCAATAGCAACAAATATGTAAAAACTTTTACTACCTCTTTCTAATAAAGATGAAATAGTAGCTATGCTCTAATTGGTTATTAGTTAATTTTGATTTAGCTATAAAAAAGAAATTAAAAGGGGAAACGCAAAATAAAAACCTGCAAATTGGATGCCAAGCATTCGTATAAGGTTTGACCAAACTTCTTAAAGTTTTGTTAGCTTCAACAAACATTAGCAATATTTTAACAAACAGGGTGTATAATACATTGTGTATAAAAAAACTGAACTGTCACAAAAAAGTTGCTAAAATCATCGGCACGTAAGATTTACAAAAACGTTTGGAAGAATTAGTTAGTTGGAATTCCAATGGTTCATCTGACAGTAAAATTGCCTCTGTAAAATAAATTTGCATATTTTAACCCTATGTGTTCCAATTGCTTTTTGGCTTTCTCATGTTTGGGCACTTGCTTTTTCGAAGGTTTTTTCGGTAACTCAATTCTCATTCTAAAATGGTTATAATTTGTGACAATTTTTCTGTCATATGAGCCAATGGACGTCCTACTATCTATTTTACAAAAGGCTTTTGCAGATTTTGTTCGCTGATGACTTACGCAAAGTTGACTCATGAGAACTAAAATATATAACTTATATGACTTTCACCAATTTTACTTTTGGGATATTCACATCAGAGCATTGAAAAGCTAAAATTAGAAATTACTGAATGAATATGTACAAACTTATGAATAATAAGGATTACCAATAAAGCTACTTCGAAGCAAATTATAAATAATTATTTAATTGTCAATAAAAATGAAAAATACACCAATTTCTGCTGTAGTGTTAATGGTTCAATGTAAAACACTTTGTGCGTGCAAAAAAGACAGTTTTGTAGATAACTACGCGACCCAAACGTATTGGCTGAGCATATTAATACGTTAAAATAAGAAAAACATGTAGATAGACGGCAAATTTATGTAGCTATTGAAAGTTGATTGTCCAGCCTCGTTATGGTGCAAACGCTATTCTATTAGAAACAGGTTTACCAGGCTCTGAATTGTAACAGGTAATTAAGTGCAAGTATTCGAAGTGCAAGATTGCTAATCCATTTACAAGAATCGAAAGAAAATATTGATAAAATTGCTTATTTATTTTTTATTGAAAAATTGTTAAAATTTTTTACCTCCTACCCCCCTAAAATACAAGCAGAATTATTCCTTTAAAAGCTTCACATGTTTGTTTGACACAGCTGTGATGACTAAATGAAACATTTAAAAGTCAATCGACTTAGATTTAATACAACACTATAGATCTCAACGTCATTTTCTTGTTAGCTCTTAAATATACAAAATAAGCTCCCTCTCTACCAAATTTTTTGCTTTCTTCACAAAACAAAAACAAAAAGTTTTTCCAAATATCCGCACCACTAAAACGAGAAATTGCTTGACAAGCACGAGCTCAAAGTGTGAGTGTTACCTCACGATTTTGAGTTTCTCTGAACTTTCACGAGAGTCTCTCTAACTCAATAAGAGCAAAAAATATTTTTTGTAATTCTTTTATAAAATAACCTTTTAAAAACAGCATTGAAAAGAGAAATTAATTGGTTTTAATGACATATTATTTATATATTATTTATAATTTCACGCGCAAACCCATTGATTTCTGTTAAACTATTAGTACATAGCTACATATCAAAAGTTTCGCAAATCACGCAACCTGCAACAGTTTTAAGAGACAAAACTTCCCGTGTTTCTAGAAACACGGATTTTTTGAGCATCCAAGCAATCAGAGCTGGTATTTTTGTTCGAAGACGATGAGAATTAAGAATTACATCCGAAACATTACAAGGAACATCACAGATGCGAAACATCGCGAAACATCACAGATTCGACATTGCAATTTATTGTCTTGGTTACACCTTAAATTTGAGTCTACAAGATGTCTTTTTTGGATTATGTTTTATTATACATTTTATAAAATTTACAGTCTGGTCAAAGATTTATCAAACTCTCTTATGGACTCTTGGTACTACGGCCATGAAATCACAACTTCCAGGTGTCAGTTTTAAAAAAAATTAAAAAATCTTAATTCAGATTTCTTGGTAATATATGTCATTTCCAAATCATTACTAAACATTTCACGAAATTT